TTCTGAAACAAATGTTATTTAAATTGTTGGAGTTTGGGGGGTGGATCTTGGAGATAATTTCCTTCTACATGAACTGAAGGAGACTGTACATTATGGTTACTTCAGTATTTGTTTAAATATACTATAAAAATCAACATTATAAAAGTGATAATGAAATTATTTTTATTTTGCAGTTTATATGGATTGAGGTATTCAAAAATAACAACCGGAAAAATCTAATCTAGTTGGCAAAGGTATACACTGTAATGCTGAACCTACTATGTTATTTAAAATTTTTTTATAATTTCTCAAGGTTTTTGTCAAATGTCAGGTGAAGGGTTACATTTTTCTTAAAAGATCGGTGGTCCCAATGTCAAATTTCTTGGAACACATTACTCAATGATAGATTTTTTTTTTTTAAATAAAACTTTACAACCTGCATATTTGTTATGTATACTAAATGATATGTTAAAATTAGGGTTTCCGTGCCTCTCTGCCATACACTAATCTGCCTAAAAGTGGTTTTCATATTTATAGTGCTAATTATCATACCTACCTACTTTAAATTTTAGGTAGAAAAATGATCTGATTTAACTACAGACATATTTTTTCTCACATTGAGTCATATGCAGAATGTAGTTCCAAATGTATTTCATTACTGTAGTCACAATATCCGACTAAAAATTAAGCTCTTTATAATTGTACCGACCAAAATCTAGTATTGGCATGGTCTTGACAGGCTGGACCTGCAAGATGTGGCTTGAATTTTAACCAGTTATCACATAATCTCTTGTGATCATGCATCTAGTTATCATAAGAAATAATTTAAAAGGTTTTGTTGCTGAAAGCAGTAAGTGGTGCAGTAAAATAGTTAAATTATTCAAAGAATGTTACCTTTCTTGCAAGAGTAATTTAAGCACATGGGAAAGATTCTAGACTTTTTGTTTCTTGCAGAAACAGTGCCCTCTGCTGCTGGAAACCTTTTTCTGCTTACTATAATTTTTATTGTGGCTTGAGCTCAGTGAGTGGTGTGGATGAGGCTGGACAACTACTAACCAATAAAATTAAGAATTTGTGCAAATGGTATAATAGAACACTATGATTATTTTAAGTAATATTAAAACATTTTCCTTTTTTTGACATTATAAAAAACATTTTAAATATCCTAGAAGTATCTTTAATGCCAATTTAAGATCTCTCTTAATTTTTGGCCAAGGAATTCAGGGTTTTCTAGCTCACTTCTATATGACATCTTTGTCAGGAGCGATTCTGAGCAGAAGATGTCAATTCTTCGACTTGGAAACACAATTTTAAACCTGTAAGATGGGTATAAAATTTTGCCAAAGGTAACTGAATTTATTCTTTCTTCTTAAAGATAAAAAGACTTTTTGTTGTTGCACAAACTCTGAATTACTGTTGGTTGAAACACAGCAGCTGTGGAGTTCAGTCCAGGCATGAAGACTGAGTCCACCTTATCTATGAAGGTTGCATGTTTCCGTCCTCCACCACCTCGCACCGTGGGCAGCGCTGTACCTGTGCGTTGTCTGACAGCCTCCTGTGTATACTTCAGCTAAATGATTGTCTGACAGCCTTCGCATTTAACAAACTAGCATGAGGCTTTTTATATCTAAATGCTATGTGATAGACAATTTCAGCTAGCCACATACCGTATGTATGAGATTCATAAAGACTTTCAATCATTCATTTCCATTTATCAACTGAAATTTTGTTTAGTATGTGAATTTTTTTGAAATGTATAGTGAATAGGATGTTGCACTGGTGGCAATTCATCGTGGAGCATAATAAAATTAATTTGACCCAAATATATAAAATAGTGTGTTTTTATTTATCGTTAGGAGATTAAAATGGGTAAAAAAAGAAATTTTAACTGTATAGTACAGCGGTGAGTGATGATGGTTGAAAGATGATGGTTGAAGTTTTCAGCAGACTGCATGCCCGAGAGTTAGTGTGCCATTAAATAAACATGGTGAGCAAAAGAATGTCACACCCTGTTCTGCTGGGAAACTGACAGCTGCTTCGCAGCTCCCCTGGAAGCCACTGCTGTAGTATACAGAGCATTTACATGGCAAGGTCAGACTGAAACACGTTCACATAGCAAAACTGTTGACGTTTTCTAAAAAAATGAGTTTAGTGTTTACTGATAGTTTTCAGTAAAAGCCAAATAAAGCACGTGGGATCTAAATGACTCTTAATAACCGATACTAAGGATGGAGATTAAAATGGGTAAAAAAAGAAATTTTAACTGTATAGTACAGCGGTGAGTGATGATGGTTGAAAGATGATGGTTGAAGTTTTCAGCAGACTGCATGCCCGAGAGTTAGTGTGCCATTAAATAAACATGGTGAGCAAAAGAATGTCACACCCTGTTCTGCTGGGAAACTGACAGCTGCTTCGCAGCTCCCCTGGAAGCCACTGCTGTAGTATACAGAGCATTTACATGGCAAGGTCAGACTGAAACACGTTCACATAGCAAAACTGTTGACGTTTTCTAAAAAAATGAGTTTAGTGTTTACTGATAGTTTTCAGTAAAAGCCAAATATAGCACGTGGGATCTAAATGACTCTTAATAAACGATACTAAAGATGGTGCTTGCTTTAAACAGGAAACTCGGTTTTTGATAAATAGAATTTTTTGTTCTGCCGACCCTGGCTGGCACAAGTGGGTGTCTGAAGATTAAGTTATGGAATCCAGTGTGTAGGATGCTACAAAATGCCTTCTAAGAGCTTTAGCCAAATTTAACATTTCAAGAATAATGTGTTCTATTAAAAAGTTGTTTCTGTAGTAGAAATGTGAACACTTAAGAATGTATTGACTGAACTTTACCGAAAAATTTTTTAAAGTGTTTCAGAATTTCTCTACATTATATTTATCTAATCAACAGAGAAATTCCTGAAATAACTTACTTTTTTAGGAATAGAGTTCTTAAAAAACAAGTATAGAGATAAGGCCTATTTATAGTAATACAAAAAAAACGCTCCATGGAAAAGTTGAGAAATTTTACTTTGCACACTTATTTTATTGACATTGTCACCTCTTACCTCCAAAATGTAACATTCTCTATATTATTATTTCTTGGTGTTTTATTCATGGATTTTTTTTAACTTTGTTTTTTATGAAGCCACTGAGGAAAATGGTGAATTAGCCATTATGAATATGATGGGGAACACACTTCGCAGCTAATGCTAAGATTGCCTTTCTTCTCTATGTGATAAAATGGTATCCTCCATTGCCATGAGGGAGCCCACTGGAAATGTTGGCTTTGTAACAAAACATGTCTAGATGAATCAGCTATAGTTTTTTGTTTTTTAAATATACATCAATGATCATACTAACAATTGATACGGTATTTAATTTTACACAACGCCATCGTAAATCTAAAATAGTCACGTGTACCACCATCAAGATTGACAAATCAAGATATGAATAGTACATCATTATCTTGAGTAAAATATAATGGATAGTAGTAGCTTATAGGTAGTTTTTAGTTTAGTCAGATGTTTTTGTATAGGGGAATTTCTAGTAAGTTTGAAGTGGCCTCAATTTTTAAATAACCACAAAATTTCTCTATACTTAGAATTTTTTTTAACTTTCTATTTGAAAAGCTCAGTTTTAATAGTGTAAAATTTTTGCATTATGGAACTTGAAGTTCCAAGTGTCATAAAGACACGATTTTCTGTCTTGGATTGGCACATCTTGACTCAAATTTAGTTTTATCTCAATTATTGCTCGATGTGTGAAAGTTTTCATCAAGGCATAGTGTAAGAATTTTTTAAGCATCGATATCACCATATTTAAACAACTGTTTATTAAGACTATGTGATGGGCATCAAATATAATGAAGTAAGATAGGTCCCTTTCCTCCTTAAATCTAAAATACTTAATTGACAGCTGAAAGACAGTTGGCAATCATTGGGTTATATCAAGACTACTCTTTGTTCCTAGGGAGGGTCCCATATTCCGAGTGATTGAGAGGCTTGTGCAAGTTCAGTTAGAAAGAGCCAATATTAGAACCCAGATCTGACTACTAGTTTGGTTGCTCTTTTTCATCCACCATATTTACTGTTTTATCCTTATTTTCTCTGTTTTTCTTTATTTATGGATAAATGGCAGGTTTACTTTGTTTCTGAAAGTTAGGGTTACAAATTTCACCCTTTCTTACATGTCATCTGGGCGTTGATAGGAGTCACCAGCATCCTGCTACTGTCTTTGCCCAGGAAAGCTGGCTTGCTTTGAGGAGCCAGCCTCTGACTCTGAAGCATGTGAACATATTTTGGCTCTATGATGGCAGTCACTTCACATTGTCCCAGCATTTGATCATCACCAGACACTCCTGTTATTTAGTACTATGTTGAAATGAAATTGAACTTTTCTACATCCAAATTATTTTTTATTAGTTCCCTAGGATGTAAATGGGCATTGCTTTTATTTAAACATAATATTTTGTAAACTTTTACAATATATTTTCCTGACAGAAAATTAGTTTGGGAATGTATTAGACTTTCCGCATAATTTTAAGCCAACAGCTGCACTGTCAGTTTAAAAGACCGGGAGTTCTTCCAGGGAGCACGAGGACAAACGAAGCACTTCAAATCCAACTTCCTGGTTTTCATAATAAGAGAGGGGAGAGTCTAATTTGGTTGTATGTACTT